GTGAGCCTGTGCCAGGAATATTATGATCACATTTTAGCTTTTTTCTCTCTTTTTCGTCAGGGGAAGTGTAGTATGGTTTGGATTTTCCAGATAGCCCGCGCCGTTTTCGTGAAAGGAGGAACACCGTTGGGTGGTACCGCTCTCCCCTGAGCAAAGCGTTCACTCTCCTGGGGCAGCTCGGAGCACAGGGACTTGGTTCTGTGCTCATTCTGCAGGGTGTGAGCAGCCAGGAGGTTGGCGCCCATGGCTGGTGGTGTGCGGACCACCGTCTGCTGAACTCATCCCGTCAGGGCTCTGAGCGGGGCTCTTCCTCCCGGGATCGGTGGGGAAAAGGGCATGTTCCCTCCTCCGCTGTGAGCCCTTTAGAAGGGAGATTTACCTTTCTAGGCACTTACGCTGAACCCTGTTGCCCTGTCCTGGGGCCCCCCTCTTCAGATGCCTGCCCTGCGGGGTGAGATTGGATCAGGGCACCATCCTGGGGCGGGGCTAGAGCTCATCTACAGTGCGGGTCAGATTGGAAAACGCTCTGAAAAATTGTGAGCTAAGCCCTGTCAGACCACGTTTCAAAATGCACTTTAGAGAAATCTGTGGTGACTGACATTTCTTCTTTACCGGAAGTCAAGCGCCCCAGGAAAGAATTGATCTGTGTTTGCCTCGCTCTTCCTTGTGAACGAAGGCACTTAGAGGTCGATTAAGTTATTTTTCTTCTGAACACGGGGAAGTATGTCCAAATCCGTAAGTCGTTACATCCTTCACGCAGACACTTCTCGCTTTCTCCTGTGAGCCGCGCAGGCTGGGTGGCTTCAGCCCTGCATTTCCATCCGTGTGATGCGACTTTAAACTGAGCTGAGGGCCTTGGTCACTTAGCTCCCCAGCAAGTTGAAAACTCGGCCTTTCAAAGCGCTTTGTCCCCTGACCCTCTGCCTCTTCAGTGGCTGGAGAGAATGTTTAGAGCACTGTGATAAGCCTGTACTTAGAAAAACAATGATTTAACCTAATCAAAAAATCTAACTTCAGTGATAAGTTGAAATGGGTATATTTATTGTTTTTCAAGGGCATAAACTAAGTATTTAAAGAATTAGAAATAAAATATCTGACCCATTGTTATGAGCAAGTGTTGCCTTAGCAGAACACTGCGGCCATTTAGGAACTTTGGACGGTTTGCGTGATCACACGTGGTATCGTCTCCCGTGTACTGTTACCTAGAGACGGCATTTGTTCATCTGTTTCCAGCACCTGGTGCCTGTCACAAGTGAGGACCCAGTCAGTGTTCATTGACTGAATATTTTTTATTTGTCACCATCACTGTTAAGTTCAGGCACTGGTTCAGGTGGCTGTTGATGAATCTGCACATCCCCATGAAATATGTTCATTTCAACCTTAAAGTCTCAGAGTGAAGCCTGATTGCCCCCCTAGCCCCTGAATATTTTATCTGAGCCAGTCAGTGCTCATTTCCATCTGGAATTAGACAATGGTGTCATTTATGTTGTGTGTGTGTTTTTTAAAACTCAGGATGATAAATGTTATTTTCTTTTTACTGGACATCCTTGGGTTTCTCCATCACAATAGAGAAGATACATCATTCCATTTTTATTACTATTTCCTTGTTCATGTAAGTAATATCTTTGTATACTAAATACAGAATCCAAAATAATCTAGCAGGAAGAGCCAGAAAATTCTGCAAACAGCAGTGGGTGGGGGTGAGATCTGCCAGGTGCTAAAATATACAGTAGAGCTGTAATAGTTAAAACCATGTGGCACCAGCTCGTGAGCAGACAGACAGGTCAGCGTACAGAACAAATAGAAAGTCCAGAGGCGATGTACATGTGTGTGGAAATTTAGAAGGTTGTCACAAAGACATTTTAAATTGGTGGGGGAAATGATGATTGTTCAGAAAGTGATGCTGAGGCCATTTGGTAAACATCTGAAAGAAATTAGGTTGGGTCCTTTTTTCTACCTTACACCAAAATAAATTCCAGATGGAGCGTAAATGTAAAATTACGAAGCCATAAAAGTACTAAAAACAAAACCTAAAAAAGTCCCATGAAAATGTTCTTATAATATTCGAATGATAGTGGCCTTTTTAATTATATTGGAAAACCCAGACATCATTTAAAAAATGATATATTTTACCACTTACTAGATTTCCACATGACAAAGAGCGTGGCATACAGAGTCAGAAGCTGATAACCTGGGAAAACCCAACATATTTCTCAAACTAAGGGTTAATTTCCTTAATATATGTAGAGTTTTTAATTAATAAGAAAAGACCAGAAATCTAACAACACAATGGGTCCACTTCATAGAAAAGGAAAAGCAAACTGGACGTGGAAAGATGCGTAATGCAGACTAACCCACCCCGACCGCGCTCAGGGCGGCGGAGACCGCGAGTTTGGGTGGTACCCGTGTTGGTGCGCCCCGGGGGCCTGAGCGCCGCCTGCCTCGCGGCTGACGGGGGCGTGGCCAGCTTCCCTGGAAAACAGTCTGTGCTGAGAAACGTAAAGCCTTGCACCCAGCAATTCCCGTTCGGGGGGTTATCCCAGACACGCTCACAGGTGGTGGAGATGTACTAGGTGGTCCCACCAGTTTAAACCAGCAGCTTCCGAGTTCTGGACAGTCCGGATCCTCACCAAAACCTGCCTTTCCGTCTTACCATTTTGGCCGTTCCAGTGGGTGCTCAGTGGAATCTTATCGTGGATGTAATTTGCGTTTCCGGTAGCTGACACTGAGCATCCTTTCACGTGCTTGTTAGACGTTCACGTAACTTTGGCAGAGTGTTTGTCGTTTGCCTGTTTTTGAAGAATTGTTATTCACTCTTGTTATTGAGTTGTTCAGTTACGTGATTTGGGTACAGGTCTGTTGCCTGACACATGCTTTGCTGATGTGGTCCCCAGTCTTCAGCTTTCTTATTTTCTTAATAACTTTTTGAAGGCAGAGGTAATTTTGATGAGCTTTCATCAGTGTTTTTCTTCTATGGCTCTTTTTTGTGTACTAAAACCTTTCTATGCCTCAAGAAAATTTACTGTTTTTCTTCCCTGAAAGTTTTGTATCTTTAGCTTTTATATTTAGTTTTAACCCCCCCATCAGATTTTCAGAGTGGTCTGTAACCAGAAAGGAAGAATGATTTAGAGGCACTGATTTAGACGGCTGTGTAATTTTCCAGATTTGCTAATAATACGGACAGCTTCGCTCCCTTTCGCCCCAGTAAAAGTTTCTGAATTAATGGAGGGACTGACATTGCTTTTGATGAGGCATCAGTGGAACATCTGGCTCCATTACACTCCCTGGTACATTGCTAACTTGAGTAACCCTGTGTGATGAGCTTCAATAGTAGGTGAGTATGTGGACCCCTGGAGTGCCCTGTAGGCGGCCTTCCCTGCTCTAGGGCATAAGGCTCAGCAATTCGGGAACTGCCCCGAAAATCAGCCGGAGACCTGAGTTCCCCTCTGCTCCTTCCGCACTTGTTCTCTCAGCCGGCAAGCGTCCCTTGTCGTCCAGAGTCAAAACGTATCCGAGGTTCCACAGAATCCAGTCCCAGCCTACCTGCAATCCCTGTCGAGCCCTGCTGGTTCTGGTCCAGAGCCGCCCTGGGCCCAGCTCTGCTGTGTTCGCACCGTAGCCTTCATCTAGGCTGTTCTCCTTCCCCTCCCTCCTGCCCTGGATGAACCCAGTGGCCTCGAGTCTCCAGTCGAGCCCCGCGCCCTTGGACTCTCTCGCAGCCTCTCGGGCAGGAAGTAATTGTCTTGAGCACATTTTGCGTAGCTTCTCCATCAGCTCACCGGCTTCTGAACGCTTTGAATTCCTAGGAGACCTGGTGCTCATGTCATGCCTGAGGGACGCTTCCCGTGGTTCCCAGCCCGCGGCAGGCTGGCGAGGAGGCCTTTCTGACGAAGAGCCGTTGTACACGACAGCCGAGCCCTCGCAGCAGTGCTCTTTGTAATGGTTTTCACACTTAGTGTTTTCAGACTCTAAGGTCGTGGTCCATTTGCTGTTGGGAAGCAGTTTTGATTGTTCAACAGCATTTAAAAAAAAATGAAACAGTAGAATAGAAAACAAAGGATCACATGGCAGGCATTCCACAGCAACAGTCTGCTTCTGGTTTGTATTTGCATATATTTCTACTAGGTGATGACGTAAAATGTATTTCTCTGTGTCGCAGCAGCAAATTTGAAAAACACTGTCTAGATTTTAACCTCAATGAATTTTGAATTTTAAAATTTCAAGAAAAGGCATTTTGAATTTTAGCTCATTTTAAAATTTCTGAAAAATTTGACTAAATGCTGTCTACAGAGTACCCTTAGGTGAATGATTTCTTCTCCCTCTGTGACTGTTCTGTAGTCTTTTAGATGTGGGGTGCACAGTTGGCTTATAGATATCTAGGTCACTTTTCTAAAATGGAGAAAGGTTTGAAGAACTTAGAGGGTTGCCATCGCAACGTGCCTCAAGTTTCGTGGTGCATTTTAGCCCCCTCTTTACTTACGTTTATGAGTTTAGGTTGCTCATGGGAGTATGTTGACAAGACAGCACTTTTTAATATATTAGAATGAAATTAATATTATCAACTGAGTCTATAAAGTGAAAATTTTGTGACTAAGGATAATAGAATTAATAGAATTTTATTTTGGAAAATAAGTTCACTTCATATGCAAGTTATGACGCTCTCATATATGAAAAGACATTGCCCTGTGTTGTTAACTAGCATTTAAAAGACAACTTGGTTTGAAACTGGGTTTTCTTAGCAATCAGCTCAGCAAGAATCATATGTTAACTATTTCTCCCCAAAGAAGTAGAAACTCAAGTCTTCCAGATTGACACGGGCGTCCTGTGGTCTCGGAGTTAAAAGAGCATCCTTGGGGTGCGAGTGCAGTTGGGAATAGAGCCGCTGCGTGTTTACAGTAAAGCGGTTTCTGGCTGACGTCATGTAACTTTGTGAGTAGCACCTTCCCTGGGACCCGGAGCCCTTGGTAATGCCTGTGCCCCCTTTCCTCGTGTCTCTGCAGGGTCATTACAGACCTTCCGATTTGTTGTGTCCTGAGACGTATGTTTGGGTTCCCATCGAGCAGTGCCTGCCGTCCCTTGAGAACTCCAAGTACTGCCGTTTCAACCAGGACCCAGAAGCAGGTATGGGGGGAGCAGAGCTCAGCTGGAAATCATTGGCTTTGCTTTTAGAATTCATGTGTCTGTGTCTGTGTCTGTGGCTCCTAACAGGGTCCAGATAGCTTTGTGTATATTGTGTAGTGTGCATGCGTGTGTGTGTGTGTCTGAATAATTCCCGGCAGTGAATGGACATTCAACTAAAGATTCATTCATGTCAGTCATTTTTAATTCATTTTCTAAAGTAAGCACCAACGAGCATTTCATGGCAGAAAAGTTGAATCTTCGTATCGACTGGTTTTTGTCAACTGTGTACCACCCCCAGTGAGCTTGTTCCTTTCCTATAATCTGAGTTGCATTTCTGATGGCATTAACTTTGGCTCTTAATATTTATTGCTTAGAATTCATTTACAAAAATCAGAGGAGTAAATTTTTTTGAAAATAGTACTTAAAAGTGCTAAAAAAATTAACAGTAAATGTTAAAGACCTTACTGACTTGATTCAATGATTCGTGAATCGGGCAGCATCCCATCCAGCCGGTAGAAAGGCGCTCGGAGGAGCTGTGCAGAGGGGGAACTATAGGAGGAAAGGGCGGGACAGGACATTTCGCTGGCAAAGAGCTGGGTGTCTGGAAGGGCTGCTTTCTTCAGGGGGTGCCGGGTGCATCAGGCGGTTGACCTCAGTAGCGCTGACCAGGTGATGCCAGGTCCATGGTTTAGGACTCTGTTCCTGGGGAAGGCTGAAACTAAGTCAGTCAGGTCTTGGGTCTCGGCTGACGGGGGGGGCTTAGCACAAGTGACTGCTCTTGGGGCCGTTGTCTCCTCTTTAACAGGAGAAAAGGAAGACCCTTTCCATGCTCAGGAGGACACCATGCGTCACCTGTGTTGAAGGTCACAGTCCAGACGCTTGCTGTTTGAAATTGGCTCACTGTCCTGTGGCTTTAGGAAGTTAAAATGCAGCGCTGAGCTGGAATGTGCCACGCAGGCTGCGAAACACGCTTGTTGGAGATTTAAATGGCACAAGTGAGACACCGTCGGCTTTACTTTCACTTGACCCAGACTCTGACTCAGGGAAAAGACAGAGCTTAGTGGGCAGTGGTGTTAGTCAGCATGGTGCTGTTTCCATGAACTCGTAGCTCCCCTTCCAGTCTCCCGTAGTTAGATTCTCTGTAGACAGCACAGCCGTCTGCCCTGGTCTCCGTGAGACTGAGTTGGCTGCAAGGTGCTTCAGTGGCCACTTGTGAAAAAGATTACATTTCCCGCGTCCTGAGATGCTGTATTGCTGCGAGCCTCTGGGAACCTCTCTCCCTTTCCCTGTGTGCGTGGGCGCACACATACATGCACGCACGCCCTCATATACGCACATGCACATACACACGTGCACACACATACATGCACTCACTCTCAAGATTTGGGCTCTGGTTATTTTTCAACTTGGAAGGCGGGTAACAGTAAACACCTACTGTGCTGACTGCTTTTACAGTACTGGGGGGGGCGGGCGCTCGGTCGTAACTTGGAAAATTCTAAAGAAACCCTCGTGTTCAAAAATAGGTCTTTTCTCTTTCTTTCCTTTTTTTAAATCCTCACCTGAGGATATTGTTTCCATTGCTTTTCAGAGAGTGGAAGGGGGAGAGAGAGACATGGGTGTGAGAGAGACACGGCGATTGGGTGCCTCCGGCACGAGCCCAGACCAGGGCCAGGGATGGAGCCTGCAACTGAGGCACTTGCCCTTGTCTGGAATTGAACCCAGGACCCTTCAGGCCACAGACCGGTGCTCTAACCGCTGAGCAGCACCGGCCAGGGCAGGTCTTTTGTTTTCCAGTTCAGGACCTCTGCCTACTCTAAAGGAAGGATTTTAACAGTTTCTCAAATGGTTTTTATGTAAAAGTCTTTGAGATTGCTCTTAAATTGGTAGTTGGATATGGATGGATTTAAAATTTTTTAAATTTTTTTATTTGTTGATTTTAGAGAGAGAGGAAGGCGGGAGAGAGAGACAGCGACCTGTTGCTCACCCATTTGTGCTTTCGTTGGATCAGACCCACAGCCTTGGCGAGCCAGGATGATGCGCTATGTCCAAGGCAGATAGATTTTTAAATTTCTGCATCAGAGTTACACCTTACGTCCTTTTAAAAATTATTTTTAAAAAGCATTTACTGGGAACACTAGTGGTAAATTTGTCCACATTTATAAAACCACCCCTAAGAAGATTTAAGGTGCCATGGCCTCGTCGCGCAGCTGTGGTCGCCGTTGGTGTTTTTATGCTCTGCTCTGGTCATTCTTAGTCTGTGCAGGTACCTGTGTGTTGATTTTTAATGAAAACAGGAATCGTGCTTCTAGCTTTTGCTGTGTTGCTTCTTGCTTTTAGTGAGGTGACTGCTTGAGTATTAATTCAGTCATTCGGCAAACAAGTGCCCCAGCTTCCGCGTGGGAGTGGCTGGCGTCGGTGTTGTACGGGTGTCACTGAAAGCCTATACCAGGCGTTTGGAGTTGGTTTAGAGCCGTGACAACTGATTTTATTTGACTCTTAATGTTGGATGGATATTGTGCTTATTTGGTTTCAGGTTAACAAAAAATCAAAACATCACTGAGCACATGCCGCTTCCCAAGCAGCGTCGATTATCCTTAGAACGTAACTGAATGTTTCCTCATTGGCCCCTCAGATAGTATTTATTGCAAAAACTAATACTTGTTTTTAATCAGAGACCTAAAGTAATTTTGACTCAGATATTGCTCTGTAATTTTATGAGTCTTTATTTTTAGTGTTTACTACAAAGGAGCTGAGCGGAACAGTCTTCAGTACACGTTTTACCACAGACTGGCCTAGGTTTTACTCTTTTCTGAACATACTCTGAAATGTTTGCAAGACATTTTCTAATTTGTCTCTAATGTAACTCAGCCATAAACTGTTAGTAAGGACTTGAATTTAAATTCACTCAGAAGTGACGGCGCCCTCGGGGCTCAGTGCTCTGAGCGTCACCCAGTTAGGGGTCCCGGCCCTCCCGGCTGCTGGGAGCCCAGGCCCATGGAGCCGGCTTTCTCCCAGCTCGAGCCTGTGAAGCTCCTGGGCTCCGTGTGTTTTGTCTTGTTTCATTTGTCTCTTCTCTCTGCTCCGTCCTGTCTCTGTCTCTCTGTCTCTGGCGCGTTCCCTGGCATTTCTCCGTACTTCTGTGGTCTCCGTCGCGTATGCCCACAGAAAAGGAACTGTGCCTGCCGGTGCCTGTGTGTGAAGTAGCTCGGTTCAGAGGAGCTCCAGCCCACGTCCATGCGCGTCCTGCGTGCTGTTTGTGGCCCCGAGTGTACCTCAGCGAGAATGTCCCCTTAACCACTGGGGAAGGAGACAGTAAATTTACCAGAGCTTCCTGGGGCTCCTGAAATTGTGCTGCAGTGAGGGTGACATTTTTTTCAAATTTAGATTTGAGGTTGACCTACCCACTTAATATTGCAAAATGAATACTTTGATTGCTGAATACTTAACACACATATTTTTTGCTGTCAGTAGCCAGCTAGAGAGAGAGCCCCATGTCCCCTGGCTTCCATTTGCACGGGCTGAGCAGGGTCCCATTGGGGTAAATGCCTCTGCACTAGAGTTTGCACAGATGCAGAGCAGGCTCCTCCCGGCACAGCCGCCGCTGCTTCTGACAGGACCCAAGAGGGGCCTGTCCCTCTCCCTTCACAGAACGTGCGCCGGGGTCGCGTCAAGTCGGAGGTGAAGCCAGGGGGTGAAGCGTCTGTTGTAGAAAAACAGGGTGAGGCGGCATGTCCCTGATGTCAGCTGACCTGTCCTTTGCCTTGGGGCAGGTGGACTGAGGACATCAGACACAAAAAAGTGGTGGACCCTCAAAGAACTCTTGCTAGTTGGTGTAGTCAGAGGAGGCAGCCAAGAATCATAAAGTCATTCACTCAAGTATTTATTATGTCAGGACCTCTGCTTTAAGGTGGGGGTGCCCATTCCTCACCCCGGCCCTCAGGGAACTTGGCGGGGGCACACAGCTACGTGGGGATCTCAGTAAAGCGTGCACATTGCGTGGTGGGGCATAGAGCGCACAGTGAGTCTGCCTGGAAGGATCCTAAACCAGATTTGCATGGGGGGGCAGGGAGCACTCCTGCGGTGAAGAGCAGGTCCCCGAGGTGCTGTTTGTTCTCTTGTGACGGGACATGTTCCGTGTCCTTTGCTGTCACTTGGAAAGAAAAGGGCCGTCTTGACCCCCTAAATGGGTGTCCCAGCCCACTAAAGTTCCCACCCCCAGCATGCAAAGACTGGTTTATCTCCACTTTAAAGGTTTATATTAGGGTTTCAAATCTGTGGGTGTGCAGGGATTAACTGTCGAATGCTAAGTTTTTGGTGCCCATGAGCATGATTTTTGTTTGCAAAAATTGTTATTCAATTCATTAAAGTAACAGTCTATTGAAGTAACATCTGTTTCTTCTTTAAACATTTAAATTCAGATTACAAATCTTATTTTCAAAGCCTTGCAGTCATTTTAAGGGGCTTTTGAATAACATTTGTTTTTAATTACCAAGTGTGAATTAAAATTTCTTTGAACACTTTTTAAAATTTTAACATAAATGTAATGTACTCAGTTTTCCTCTTAATTCAACTGTCTAACAGAGGACACTTAAAAATCTAATAAATTTATAGATGTAATGAACCTTAATTGTTACTGATGGTGAAATTACAAATCTAAGTCAATTATTTAATTATGTATTTACTGTTGGCAATAGAAATTGTTTACATAGAAAATTTCCAGAAGTCAACTGCACAACTCCTGCAACTAATATGTGAATTTAGCAAGGCCACAGGGGGAAGGGTTGATACACAAAAGTCAGTTGTATGTTTACACACTAGCAGCAAACAGTTGGAGAGTGAATGAAAATACACCCACTTACACCAGCATCAGGGAACGTCGGTGTCTAGAAACACAAGACCAGCACCCTGGAGACCACAGAGCGTTGCTGGGACCTGCACAGTGGAGATTTGTGCCCTGCTCATGGACCGGGGACCTAGCAGTGCTGGGGTGGCAGGCGAAA